CTCTAAGGGTCCCCATGAGAACTGCAGCCAGGGGAGCAGTGGGCAGCAGCTCACCACAGGCTTACCCTCTGATCCTCTCTCCAAGGCCCCCCTTTTCTCTCACTTCCCAGAGGAAGCTAAAAGCAGCCCCACCGTGGCTCGTTTCTTCCCCGGAACATTTCTAGACAACCACGGCAGAGCACCACCTAGGCTCTCTATCCTGTTGCTTCTTCTACCCTAAGTCCTTCCTACATTTCACTGTCCTCAGCTTTAATAGACATACTTTCAAAATCACCTGGACTTGTGAAATCTTTCCTACAAGAGTCAAGAACCCACACACTTCTGGCTGACCTGAGGCAAACCTGCTGCAGGCCAGTCCCTGTCCAGTAACACCATGGTAATTCTAGGTTTAACTTTACCCATACACTTATGGGTTTAACTAAAGCTACACATCTTTAACTGCTCTTTAATAAGGTTTCCAAAACCATTCAATGGAGAAAGGATAACTTATTCAACAAATGGTACTGGGACAATTGGATATTCACATGCAAACAAATGAAGGTGGACCCCTACCTTACATGATATACAACATTAACTCAAAATAGGTCAGAGGCCTGATTTTAAGAGCAAAAACTAAACACTTAGAACATAAGGTAAAATCATCAAAATTTGGATTTGACAAAGGATTCTTAGATCTGATAACAGAGGCATAAGCAATGACAACAACAACAACAAAACAGGTAAATTGGTCTTCATCAAAATTAAAACCTTTTGTGTTTCAAAATGTATCATCAAAAAAGTGAAAAGACAACCCACAAAAAATGGGAGATATTTTTTCTTTTTTTTTAAATTATATACCCAATAAGGTATATAATCATCATGTTGCATACCTTTTTTATATCTGAAATATATGAAGAATTCTTAAAACTAAAAGAAACCTTGATTAAAACAGGCAAATAGTCTGAATAGACATTTCTTCAAAGATTTTATTTTCATGTGCTTATTGGTCATATGGAGGAATATACATATTGGAGAAATATACATATGACCAATAAGCACATGAAAATACAATAACATCACTAGTCATTAGGAAAATGCTATAAAAAAAGAGCCTAAAAAATAACAAGTGTTAGTGAGGGTGAGGATATAGAGAAATAGAAACCCTCATACATTGCTAGTAGGAATAAAGGTGGTACAACTGCTACAGAAAAGTTTAATAATTCTTCAAAAAGATAAACATATGCTACCATGTGACCCAGCAATACAAGACAAAGGAAAACATACGCCCACACAGAAACTTGTATACAAATGTTTATGGCAACATTATTCATAACAGCTAAACAACCCAAATATCTGTCAAGGTGAACGAATAAACTATGGTATGTCCATATGATGAAATAGCATTAAGTCATAAAAAGAAACGAAATATTGACATGTGCTACAACTTGGATTAACCTTGAAAACATCATGCTAAGTAAAAGGAGCCACACAAAAAAATCACATATTGTATGATTCCATTTGTATAAACTTTCCACAACTGGCAAACCCACAGAGAGAAAGAAAGCATACTAGTTGTTGCCAGAGGACGGTGGAGGCTGAAATGGGGAGTGTTACTGGTATGGGGTGCTCTGGGGTGATGAAAAGTTCTGAAACTAAAGATTAGTGGCCGTTTGATGGAACTCTAAATGCAGTAAATTAAATGCCACTGAACTGTACACTTTAAGATGGTTTAATCTATGTTACATGAATTTCTTTTTTTTTAAGATTTTATTTATTTTATTTTTAGAGAGGGAAGGGAGGGAGATAGAGAGAGAGAGAAACATCAATGTGTGGTTGCTGGGGGTCATGGCCTGCAACCCGGGCATGTACCCTGACTGGGAATTGATCCTGCGACACTTTGGTTCACAGCCTGCGCTCAAAAGAAAAAAAATTTCTTTTTATTTTTTTAAGATTTTATTTATTTATTTTTAGAGAGGGAAGGGAGAGAGAAAGAGAGAGAGAGAGAGAAACATCAATGTGTGGTTGCTGGGGGCCATGGCCTGCAACCCAGGTATGTGGCCTGACTGGGAATCGAACCTGCGTCACTTTGGTTCGCAGCCCGCACTCAATCCACTGAGCTATGCCAGTCAGGCTGTTACATGAATTTCATCTCCATATTTTTAGAAAAGGGGATGGAGTACTACATCAATAATTAAACTTGAGCTCTGGCTGCTGTGGTTCAGTGGGTTGGCCTGTGAACTGAAAGGTCACTGGCTGGATTCACAGTCAGGGCACATGCCTGGGTTGCAGGCCAGGATCCTGGCTGGGGGCATGTGAGAGGCAACCAATCAATGTTTCTTTTGCACATCGATGTTTCTCTCCCTCTCTTTCTCCCTCCCATCCTCTCTGTAAAAAAATAAATAAAATTTTAAAAATAAAAAAAAGAATGAAACTTGATAACATGAAGAAGAAACATCCTAAAAGAAGCCAGTCACATACTGTACGGTTCTGTTCATATGCAAGTCCAGAACAAGGAAATCCATAGAGATCAAAAGTAGATTAGAAGTTGCTTAGGACTAGGGGCAGGTGGATGGGGGATATGAGGCGAATAATAGCTAATGGGCATGGGTTTCTTTTTGAGGTAATGAAAATGTTCTAAAAGCAACTGTGATGATGGTTACAAATATCTGTGAATATGCTAACTACTACTGAATTGTATACTTTAAATGAGTGAATTGTATGGTATGTGAATTATATCTCAATAAAGCTGCTTAAAAAATAAAAGCCATTAATGATAACAATAAATTAAATTAGTAATTTAAAAAATTTTTCCATAAAAATCTCTGGCCTAAATGTCTTCACTGGTTAATTCACAGGATACAAAAAATCAAAACACAGCCCTGGCTAGATACTCAGTTGGTTAAAGTATCATCCCCAATACACTAAGGTTATAGGTTTGATCCCCGCTCAGGGCACATACAAGAATCAACCAATGAATGCACAAATAAGTGGAACAACAACAACAAAATGGGAACAATTGTAATAGCATAAACAATAAAAAAAGAAAAATAACTTTAAAAAACATCTAGTAAGCACAGTATTCTATAAAGAATATATTCTGTCAATATATTAATCAGGTAATCTTGTTTAACAAATTTTCTTTCTATCATAATGCTTTACCATACAGTGGCCTCTACTGGCAAAAAGGAGAGATTCTGATTAGCTGGCCACTAGTTGCTTTAATTTTTTTATATTTATAATGTATCCATTATGTAAATTAGGTCATAGAAATGGCTATGGTATCTTAAAGGAGAATGCTTAGGATTATAAAGTCTAAATTGTGCCCATTCGAAAGAAAGTAGATGAAGTAAGAACAAAAGGAAAAAAGAAGCAAAAAAACTCACTCCCAATCTAAACTATTGCTATAAAGTAAACCTTACAAAAATACTTTTTAAAATTACTCATTTAACTGACTAATCTCTCTTTGTCAATCCAGGAAACAGAAAGTACATTCATAGAAATAAATAAATGAAGAGCCCATTAGTACACATTTATGCTACATAAATAAAATGTAAATTAAAGAAATAACTTGATTTTTGTACCTCTAAAGAGCAGAATAGCATCATAATTGAAAGAGCACAAGCTTGGGCTTGGATTCAAGTCCTAACTCGAACATTTACTCACTATGTGACCTTGGGTTTAATTCATCAACACCTTGGTCTCCATTTTTATAAAATGAAAATATTTTAGCTCACAGCACTCTTTTGAGTATTGCTTCACTCAGTAATCACTTACAAATGTTCACCATAATTATTGCTATTTCTGTGCAGAAGTTAACGAATTTTTATTTTAAGAGGTCATTAAGTTAAAAAAATTACATATTTGTATGATTTAACTTTACCAAACATTTATTGAGCATCTGTTATGTTGAAAACACTGTTTAAGCTTTATTAAGAAAGTCACTGAAACATTAAAAGTATTGAAAATAATTAAAGAGGTAACTATTCATCAACACTGAAAGATGTTATAATGTACTAAATGAAAAAAGATTATCAAACAGTAGTAATGCTGTAACACTGTTTTGTTTTGTTTTTCCTTAAAGCAAGATTATTTCTTTCTGTTAAAGATTTTATTTATATACTTTTTTTGCGAGGGGTAGGGAGGGAAAAAGAGAGAGAATCAATGTGTGGTTACCTCTCATACTCCCCCTATTGGGAACCTGACCCATAACCCAGGTGTGTGCCCTGACTGGGAACAGAACCAGCGACTCTTTGGTTTGCAGGCCAGTGCTCAATCCACTGAGCCACACCAGCCAGGGCTAACAGTGTTCTTATAAGCACATGTATTTATACATTCACAAAAACATACATGACTATAAACTGAAATCAACTGATAGTCATCTCTCAGTAGATAAAGAACAATTTTACTTATTTTTTCCTGTGTAGTTTTTAACTTTTATACTGTGAATGTTTAACACTATAAAAAATAGGAAAGTTGACAACACCTTTAGTAACATTATACACAGATTAGTAGGTAGGCCATTTGCATCCTGGATTAGAATTGGAAAGACCTACAGGGCACAGAACACACTATGATCTTCAATTTATGAAGATTAAAAGAGAACGAAGAGTCAATAACATTTACAATTCATTAAATGAAAGAATCCTTAGGTTAGAATGTTATAAGGCTAATGTTGCTTCTAATAAATACATATGCTAATTAACTTACCATCTGAAGTAGTGTTCTAAGACAGAAACATTTTTTTAAATTACTGTAAAAATTTTTTTTGGCACAGTTAGACATAGTTGAGCAGAACATAAAATTATAAAAAAGGTTCTCTTGGTTAAGGATGCAACAGAAAGCAGGGTCATGCTTTCTGTTGCATCCTTAAAATTCTGTTTTAATTTTTTAAAGAACTTCCACACTGTTTTTCATAGTGGAAAGCGATCCCACAAACAGTGCAAAAGGGTTCTGTTGTCTCCACACCATCACCAACACTTGTTTGTTGGTGTATTAATGAATTAATGCAATTGAAAACTCACCTGAAAACATTTTTACAAAATCATCAGTAGACATATGCATCACCACATCTGCCTGATCAGATGGCTCTCCATATCCGGCATTCCCACTCTTGTTTTTAAGATCAAGAAACCACGTTCCACCATCTTCACCTACACAGAAGATAAAGATAGAGAAATAAGTGCCCAAGAAGGCCTCTTCTTCTTAAACTTTATAACTGCTACAATTAGAATAAATAATTTTACATACTGCTATTTCCCAGGCTAAAATCCCCAGGCCTCTATCAATTTCAGCAAACACTTATTAAGTACTTATTATGTCCCAGGCACTGGGCTAGGCTCCAAAGACTCTGCAATAACATGGTTCTTACATAAGAGGAATTGGAGTCCGGAAATCCCAACTGAAGCTGAGATTTAAAAGTTAAGTAAGAATTAGCTAAATAAAGAACTGAAAAAAGTATAGTACAACCAGAAGGTAGAAAGGGTGAAAACAGTGGCGCCAGACAGGAGCCAAAGCAGTCAAATGAGTGCAGTGAGCCATGTACTCCCCGACTTCTAAGAGAGATGCTGTAGAAGGAGAATGACATAGACTTGTACTTTAAATAGATCGTGCTAACAGCAGTGTAAAGAACACATTGGAGAGGGTTAAAAAGGACGCAAAAGACTAGTTAGGATGGTTGGTGTTGGGTAATTTCGGAATTGAGGGTATATGGCTGGATCAGGATCACGGCAGTGGGGATAGAGAAAAGTAGGCGTATTTGAGAAATAATCTCAAAGCGGGACCCATTAGAACTAGTTACCTGAATGAATGTAAAGAGGAAAAGGTGGGGAAGGTGCATGAGAATGATTTACTAGTTTTGGGCATGAGGAACCGTAGATAGTGGTGTATGGTTTACTGAGAGAGGACTACTAAAGAAGAGCAGCTTTAACGGGTAGTGCCAAAGGCAGCTACTGGGAATGGTGAGTTGCTTTGGACATTTTCCAATTGTGACAGTCAAGTGAATATGTCAAATGAAGTCTGACTAGGCTAGAAATAGAGATATATAAGTAACCACTTCACACGGCCACTGAAGTCATGTGAGGGGTTGGAGTTTCCTGGCGAAAGTCTAGAGTGTTGAGACAGTGACCTGAAGAACATCCTTGAAGGACAAAGGAGAAGCCTCTAACACAGGAGACTGAGAAGGCACGATTACAGACAGAGAAGGAAAGCAGGGAAAGCTCCTGTCAAAGAGGCCAAGGAAAGGGAGAACTTCTGGAAGGAGTGGTCAGAAGCACCAAATGCTGCACAGGTGTGACCAGAATGATAAATGTCCACTGGTGACACAGAAGCCACCAAGGACTTTGGTGAAAACAAATTCAGTGGAATGGAGAAAAATAATACCAGAGCAGAGTGAATTGCAGGTGAAAATAATTTTGGCTTATTGTGTCTTGCTGTGTTTGTTTAAAATACAGAATAGACTGAACATGTTAAAATACCTTTGGGAAGGAGGTTGCAAGATGAACAGGTGAAAGAGAGGGCATAATTAATAGCGCAAAGTTCCTGAAGAGGCTAGAGGAGATGGAGTGTAGAACTTTGCTACTCAAAGTGTGCTCCATGGAGTGCCCATAGACTATCAACTGATTTCTCAAAAGAAACCTTACAGGCAAGAAGGGGTGGGAAAGAAGTATTTGAAGTCATGAAAGGCAAAGACCTACATCCAAGATGACTCTGTCCAGCAAAGCTATCATTTAGAATGGATGGGCAGATGAAGTGCTTCCCAGATGAGGTAAAGTTAGAGGAGTTCATCATCACCAAGTCCTTATTATATGAAATGTTAAAGGGACTTATCTAAGAAATAGAAGAAGATAAAAAACTATGAACAGTAAAATGATGACAAACTCACAACTATCAACCGAGCCTAAAAAAAAAAAACAAAAACTCAGCAAACAACTAGAACAGGAACAGAATCAAAGAAATGGGCATCACATGGAGGGTTTTGAGTGGGGAGGGAAAGGGGAAGAATAGGGGGAAAAGGTACAGGGAATAGGAAGCATAATTGGTAGGCATAAAATAGATGGGGAGAGGTTAAGAACAGTGTAGGAAACAGAGAATTCAAAGAGCTTATATGTACAACCCATGGACATGAACTGAGGTAGGGAAATGCTGGAGGGTTGGGGGTACGGGGCAGAGGGAGGATAAAGGGGAAAAATTTGAGAAAATTGTAATAGTATAATCAATAAAATATAATCTAAAAAAATAAAAAGTAATTAATTATTGATAGGAAAGGGAAAAAAAAGTGTGCTCCATGGACTGCAGTCTGGTCATCCCTGTCAGAAATGCAGAATGTGGACCTCGCTTCAGACCTGCCTGCTGAATCAGATTCTGCATTTTAGCATGAATCCAGGTCATTGGTATGAACATTCAAGTTTGAGACACACTGATCTAGAGTTGAATTCTGTTCTGTTGGGAGGGGAAGAAGGGAGGATGATGCCTACAATGGTTAATTTAATATAAGATGAAAGGAAGCAGAAGCAATTTATCTGTAGGTTTTTATTATCGCCCTGAAAGAGGAGATGGGATTATCCATTGACTCTGGTAGGAAGTAGTGAAGGGACAGACGGAAGATTTGAGGAACACTGAGGTTTAAAATAGTAACTGAGGAAAATAGGCAGTAACCAGATCACAGAAACAGAATTCTGAGGTGCTGCTCAGACCCCAGTAGAGGGGCAGTGATGAATTTCTACTGGTACAGATCCACTGGGTGGTGTGATTTTTTTTTCCATTTCTCTAGCAAGATTTAGCAGTCTGAGTGCAACTGTGGGTCAGCCAGATAGTTTGATTCAGCCAGGACTAGGGTGCTGGCAGGTGGTGACATCAGCACAAAAGGTCCAGAAAAGGAAGTAAAAACAGGAAGGTGCAGATAGATGAAGATTATTAAAATACAAGAGACAAAGGATAAAAGAACTGATAATGTCAAAGTCTTCCTACAATGGGAATGAGGTAGCCAGTTCTTAAAACTGTCATTAAGGTGTGTTAATGCTATATTAAGAATATTGAGATACTTTAAAAAGCTGACTACATTCAGACTGACTGGAAAAATCTCAAAGATAAAAGTAGTAAAGTGTCCATGGTGGATGATAAATTACTATATTATACTACCTGTTACACTGGAAGTATTTGTAATGTAGCTTTATATGTGTCCATAAGTACTGATCTTAACTTAAAAATACAAATCAGTAGCTATTTGTTATTCTGAAATGTCTGCATTCTAGGGTAAGGGTTCTGCATACAGCCAACCAGCCAGGTGATTATAACTGGAGGCTGATTTTCTTCCAAGGGAAATATCCTACTTTCATAAAAGACTCAGATAACCACATGTATCCTTACCTGAGAGTTCAAACTTATAGATTGCTTGAGTGGCTTTCACAATGTCATCACTGAGCGAGTTCTTAACAGCTCTAAATGTTTCTTCCACAGCTCCAGAACGTGATTTTGACTGTGGCTTTTCTTCTTTCACTTGTGGAGCAGCACCTGTAAAATATTGATGAAGATGGCTTTAAAGCCTAGGCCAAGGGTGTCAAACTCATTTTCACCAGGTGCCACATCAGCCTCGCAATTGCCTTCAAAGGGCTGAATGTAATTTTAGGACCATATAAATGTAACTACTCCTTAACTAGGGGCAAGGAGCTCAGCGCTGCCACCAGGTAGAAACAAGGTGCAGGGCCAGATAAAACAAGGAGGAGAGCTGGATTGGGCCCACAGGCCTTGTGTTTGCCACCTGTGGCTTAGGCAATATAAGGCCACACACAGAACTAACTGACAGAGTAGACTTGCTACCAATGAAACCTATTTGTCCAAAATGACTTTAAATATATTCAGTGGTATCTAAATGCGTAAACTGAACTAATGCAATAACAATCAAACATGTCAATTATGATTATAAATGCAAATTGTTTATATTCTCCAAGAAAAGGCTGATTCTCAGACTAGGCTTAAAAAAAGCAAACCACTACTAAACTATACAATGTTTATAATAAATGGACCTAAACAAACTATTGGAGCTTTCTTAATCATCCACTGTGAGTTCTAAAATCAAGTAAGAAGATGCCAGAGTCAAGAAGATGGAAGTATTGACTGTGTCATCATTCGATGTCTCCTGTGTAATCAGCGGAGCCAAATTGGAGACAACAGTCAGTAGACTACAACTATGTAAGCTTTAATGGGAAAGATACATTTAGAGCATTTCAATTACTCTTAAAAAAGAAAAAAGAAAAAGGACATAGCTAGCAGCCCTGACATAGCCTCTCCTGACTTCACACTAAATAAACATAAAAATATTTAAAAAAAAAACAACAAAAAAGACAAATACTAAATATCACCAAGGCAGACATCTGATCTGCTGTCAGAGTCTAGGAAGAAAGGTCATGGCTATTGAACAACACAAGACAACCTGTTGACTATGACTCTGCTCCCTGTGGAATAATGCCCACAGGGGAAAGAAGAGGCTGAGCATAGCAACCACACAGTTAGTTCATACAATGACAACTCCTCAATATAAATTAATAAGTTGAAATACTGGGGGAGGATATGCTAATTTAAAGGACTTGAAGTACTCAGGAGTTAGGAAAGAAATTTAAGTTTACTGCTTAAGGGTGTGGGCTTTGGAACTGAAGAAAGAAGAAATTAAATCCTGGCTCTGCCACCTGACAGCCATGTGATCTCAGATGTAAGATGAGAATAATACCTGTCTTGTAGGGGCATATGTATTAATGAGACAATGCATGCAAAGTATGTAGTACAGGGTCTGGCACACAATAGGTGCCCAATAAACATGTTGAAAAACAAATTAAATATATGTGATCAATGAGTGGTTCTTATTATTTAAATTTGGAATTTAAATAAGCTCAGTTCATGTACATCTTCCTCCGAAAAATAGATCCAATCTTTGACTGCTAGGCAAAACTCCGGATTTTGGACTTGCTTCATTAGAGGACCAGTCTCTGTTAGACTTTGATAAGCTAACTCATTTCTACCATTCCATACATGCCTTCTGAGATAAAGATGGGAAGTCTTGTTTTAATATTCTGATACATCCATGTGGCAACCAAATGAAAATCTCTTTTTTAAAGTGAAAAAAAATTAAATTTTAAAAAGATCTATCTCTGGGTGGTAAGATTTTGAATATTTTCTTTCCTTTCTATATTACAAAAGAAAAGTTTCCTAAGTAACTTTTTAAACTATCTCCAACAATCCGGAGAAAGAACAGATAAAATAGAAAGGATTAAGATTAAGCCAGAAAGGTTCAGCATGAAAATGCATTGCAGTAAGGTTCTATAAGTTTGCTAATATATAAACAAAATTTGTTCCTAAATTTTCTAGAAGACATCTAAAGAATTCATGATCACTTAGGAGATCCAGTGTCCATTATATAAAAATAAATTAAGGGCCCAGAAGAAGAACAACTATTCTTGTTAATAAACCATGAGAGAAATTTTTCTCATGGGTATTCGTTAAAGAGTGCTTCATCTGCCCTGGCTGGTTTGGCTCAGTGGATTGAGTGTTGGCCTGTGAACCAAAGGGTTGCTAGTTCAATTCCTAGTCAAGGCACATGCCTGGGTTGCAGGCCAGATCCCCAGTAGGGGACACTGAAAAGGTGACCACACACTGATGTTTCTCTCCCTCTCTTTCTTCCTCCCTTCCCCTTTCTAAAAATAAAGTCTTTTAAAAGAGGAGAGTGCTTCATCTGACATCTTTCAGTAAGCTGGTGGCATAAGGCTGGGACACAAAGATTATACCATGTAAACTCTGGACCAACTCAAAGGTGCTACTGTTTTTGAGTTATAAAAATAAAAAAAAGTAAAACCAAAACCTCCTTTGAAGTTAATTTCTCCCATAAAGTAGTCACATAGCACAAACTCTGTGAATGGTGTTAGGTATACTTTGGTATGACACATTTTTCCTCAAAATAAAATAACGCAACAATACAAAATACCTAAACTACCTAAAGATAGTGCCATGGGAAAAAAATAAAACCTTAAAAAGGGTTGAGATTTTTTTCAGACTTTTAAAAATTAAATCAAAAGCCTATATTATGAACTTTTTACTGGTAGAAAAAAAAGACAATCTTCTTTGCTAGAACCAAGACTTCACATTCCTTGTCTAGTTTAAACCACAAAATTATTTAAAAGCAGAAGACATGAATGTTTAATTCTATATTTTGGAAAAAACACTTAAGTATCTTTATTTTCCTACATAAAATATGGTCTAAATCTTACCATGGGATTTCATTTTCTGGGTAATTGTATCTGGGAATTCATCTAAGAAGAAATCTGGTAACAAAGGATGGCCTGAAAAAAATGACCCCCAAAATAATCAGGTTATTGCAACAACTTCAATATATTGAGATTTTAACACTTATTTAATAAACATTATATCTGTTTTTATTTAAATAATCATTCTGGTGTGATGGAAAGACCCCCAGGAGAATTGTTAAACTGCCTGATTACTAAGTAAAAATAGTTTCCCAGTGATCCTCCTCTCCTATGACAAATTTCATCTAACCATAGTCACCTGTTCAGTTAAGGCCTTACCTGCTCTTCCAAGGGCCTTTGCCCTCTTATCTGTCCATGCAACTCTTATGTCTTACATCCCTCCAAGGTGCTTAGGACTCATTTCCTACCTGACCCTCAAAGAGAAGGGGATTCCTCATTAAGAAGGACTTGTTCCCCATTTCTGTCTCTGTCTGTTACCCGCTCTCAGAAGATTAAAAAAAACTAAAGGACAGGGGTACATTGGTTTGTTATAGCCTAACACTTATCATAGTACCTAATCATATTAAGTTCTCAACACTTGATAGGGTTTTTAATTTAAATCAAATTTAAAATCTTATGTATAAAGATGCTATGCGTTTAGTACCTAAAGTGATAATTACACTGGACCCAGGACCCAGAAGACCTGGGTCTGGTCCAGGTTCTCCCTCTTACTAGCTGACTACCTTTAGACTGAGGCTCAATCTCTTCGAACATGTTTTTCTACTTGAAAGAGTAACTACTGAATACTGTGATTACAGCATATGCCAGGCACTGTGCCAAGCACATTATATACATTGCTGCATTGTTTTGACAAAAATCCTGAATGGAAGGTAACATTTCAGTAGTTTTACCAGTAAGGAAAGTGAAGCTCAGAGAAACTGGGGAACACATGTACAGTGCAGCAGAACTGGAATCTGAACCTGAGTTATCTCCCCCAAGACCCCATGTTCTTAATCATGACACAATATTGCTTCCCTCACAGGACTGCTGTGAGGTTAACTAGACAGTGTATATAAAAATGCTTTGTAAAACTGTAAGGAGCTATTTAATTCAATTCAGTTCAAACTGAGAGACAGGGATGATACAAATATAAATGGTTAACCTAATAAATAATATTTCAAACATACATTAGCCCAAATAAAGACTACATGTCCATTATTTGGTATATATTATCTTATACATATAGTAAAATGCATTATCATCACCATCATCATCTGCAATTTCAGAGAGAAAGAATGATTTTTGAATAAGGGGAACTACTGAGAACTTCTCACATCATGCCCTTGTACATCAGACCAGCCCTGCTCACTCACCTTCGCCATCTACCTGTAAGCTACTCTAGGAAACAAACATTTAGAAAATGCCCATCATCTTAAGAAGCTTTTGTGAAAAACCCACTGCTGTGTCTTCTGTTACCATGTCCTTGAATAAAATCTTTAGTCTGTGATTTTTAAAACTAATCTTCATTTCTGGTTTCAAGATTTGGAAATGGCTGAGAGGTGGAGTCCCACGGACCTTCTGCATCTGTTTATCACTTTAAAAGCCCCCAGCTCACCTCTGTTTTCCTTTCTTCTCTAAGGGGTGCTGGGATGGGGTTTTCCCCCTTATTGGGAGGACAGCTTTCAAAAGAGCATATTATTTTATAATCACACATACACACAAAAGAGATTTGTTCTCCTTGCAGAAAATGTGGAAAAATACATTGTTATTTTTAAAAACAATAAGCATTACCTGGTTTAATTGCATAGGCATCAAAATTTTTTATTCCTTCTTCTTTTAAGATATTTTCATCAATAATAAAGTTGCCAGTAAAAGTTTTAGGCTTTTTGAAAATGGAATACGCAGCATCTGCAATGATGTCAACTTTTCTACATTGGCTTTCAATACCTGATCCTCCCAGCATATCCATAGCGGCAGTGTGTATGGCTGTAGAGAAAACATACACATCCATAACTCCAAATCAAGTAATGGGACTATGGAAGTAACAAGCAAGATGGCTAGTCCCTTTGTTTCTCAGGTAGTGAAAACAAGATCCAGAGCTTGAAGCATTTGCTCAATGTTCTATTGACATAACAGGGGAGAAGACACATTTTCCTTGCTCTACACAAGGGTGCCTTACACAGAACTCCTTCATGAGGCTCACAGCAAAATTCAATTAGACTTTTCTGATTGAGAATACTTAAGAATTTGCACACCATTCTTCAGAGTCAAGAAAGCCAGTAAGATATAATAGAAAGCACAATGACCTGTAAGTCAGATGACTGAGATATGTCAACCATGCCATGATTTTTTGGAAAACCACATTAGCATCTTTCTGCCTCAGTTTCCTGTTTCTAAACTATGGAGCTCCTTTCTTAAGTTCATTGCCTCTCTTTCCTCTCTTCTACCATCTAGAGGCTTTGTTTTTCTTTTTCATCACTGTAGGCCCAGTGCCTAAAACAACAACAAACACATCACGCGAACTCAATAAGTAGAGGTTAACAACTGGATCCATCATAACATGAAATTCACTGATGACTTTCGGAAAAGAACATACATGATCTGTAGTAAAAGCTGATATAGCTCAGATCATAAGAATCCTGAAGGTGACCCTAAAACTTGAGTCTTATTAAGGAATAACTGGGTAAGTATCTAGTAGCTTCAGATTGAGTCTCCTGATTACAGGAGACTCAAAACAGTAACATGAGTCTTAAAATCAATGGGAGATTTCCTTTCACATAAACATATGCGTTGCATATCAGGTTTAAAACATCAGCATTGCCTTTGAGTCCTTCTTCTCTGGGGAGAGCGCTTATCTCACCTCTTTTAACACCTGCCAGCCCCCGCCAAGCACGCATATATTCTTCTGTTCACTCACTGAGTAAACCAAAGATAGCACTCATTATAAAGTGTACCACTAAGAAAAAAATCCTTAAACTATGATATATCATCAATTCTAAGGGCATCCTGATATCAAAGTGTAAGTGTAACAAAGTGATAACAAAGATGTGAAAGTGTAAAGCATGGGCATCTCAGAATCAATGAAATATGGTATAAACTGCCATGAGAAAACAGAAAGTAGGTCCTTTGAAAAACAAGTATGCTAGTTTTGGTTTTTAGCAACAGAGAAGTTTCTGTCACCTTGTCACCTTGGCCTCCCTGGTTAGCTGAGTTCCCACATCAATTTGCAATGTGTTCCACGTGATAGAGGACTGAAACTGTTCTGAGAGAGTATTGTTATCTTCCTCTCTGCTGCCAGGACTGAGATCAGTAGCTGTCATTTATTCCCAGACTCCTCACCCCAACCCACAGGACATCTACCCCAAAGTTGACCTCCCTCCTCTATACACTTGTTCTGACCAGCCAAGAGGTAAGAGGCCGCCGGCATTGTGAATAGCAGCTCTCATCCCTCCTCTCAGCCCTACCCTCCATTTCAGCAGGAACTGAACATACCACACGAATCCATTTATGAAATGGATTTTATAAAAAGAAAAAAATTATATTTTTGAAGGTGACCTAGCTGGGGGCCTGAGAGCCTCATGTTGTGAAATTACTAGAAGCCTGCTCACTGATCTGCGATCAGTGTGATCAGCTAAATTCAGTGGGGTCAAAAGTCTAGGCCCAAAGGGGTAATGTAGCTGGTGTAGAGAAGGCATTCAGAGTCAGAAAGGACAAACAGTAGACTGGGACACTGCTTTGATTGATGATAATATATGTTACACTGTACCCATCCCATTAAGTGCAATAAATCTCCTTTTCCTTACAGGGCAGTAATGTTGGGAGATTACTTCAGGTTCCAGTAGGGAGAGAGAGAAAGCCACTGTACACAGTCTTGGAAGAGGAATCTTATTTGTTTGAATAGAGATCTAATAGCAAATAGCTAGGGGGCTAGACACCCTCTCAAATCGATTTTCATTGCCTTGGTCATAAATAATGCTATTATCTTAGCTAACTTTCTTGCCTCCGCTCTCCACAGTCTTACAAGCCATCCTATATTCAGATTCCAGACTAAACTTCTTAAACTTCATCAACAATCCTATCACTCCACTGCTCCTGTTTTCCCTATACTTACTATTGCTCTCCTGCTTCAAAATTCTAAAGTGGTTCTCTACTGAATGTAGGCTAAAATTCAAACTCCTAAACCTGGCAATCAAAACCTGGGACTTAGCTCATCCATCTCCCCTCACCGCTTCAAACCCACCCAATATTCCAGTCAATCCAAACTTGCAGTTGCTTAAGTTCTGTGGAATATAGAGAGCCTACACCCTATCACACAGACACCAGTTCAAACTCCTTGTAGTTCCACCAAACATCTTCCCATACTATAGCCTTTCTTGTCCCTTCCCTCTGCCTGGAATGTTGTTCCCTCTGCCAGGAACATCTTGCCCAGTTCTTCAAATTCCAACATCCCCTTAAGGTCTCATTTCAATTGTTTACCTCTGTTAGGACATCTCCTTTCCTGACCTACAGCTTGAGACACAACACTCCTGTTATGTTTCAAAAGTATCAAGTACAAGCACATGGCATAATGAATTACGCCATATCACAAGGAATATGACTGTAGATTGAATTTACTGTGCCAATAAATCTAGAACCCAAATAGTACCAACGGTTCCAAGATGTCTAGTAAAACTTCTAAAATGAACATCTCAAAGCTAAAGTAAAAATCTTGGCAGTGACATGACTTCTGTCCATCCTGATACTGTCCTCCACATTCCCTCTCATGTAATGTCCTCCTCCTTTCTTACATAAGCTTTGTTCAGAATGTCTATTTTGAAGCTGGGCAGAAGATATGCATTTATTCATTTATCAAATATTTATTGAATAGCTATAATGACCATAATAAAATAAACACACATTGTCTCTACTTTCAAGCTTTCATTCTCACAAGACGTTACACTCTAGTTAAAAAATTAATAATTTACTTACAAATACTGTAAGTGATATGAAGAATAAGTGCATACTACTATACTAAATCCAACATCGGGCCCCATCTTATAAAAACTATCAGCAATATTTGACACAATTGATCATTCTCCTTCCTTGAAACACTTTCTTCAATTGGCTCAGGATATCATACTCCAGTTTCTTTCTACCCTGCTCTCCTATGTTGGGTCTTTCTCTTCTTCCCAACTTCTTACTGGTTAGTGGTCCTCTCCCTTCCTCTGTTTTCTCCCTAGATAATACCACCTAGCCTTGTGGCTTTATATACGATCTATATGCTGTTAACCCACAAATTCCAGTACCCTCTGGACCTCTCTCCTGACCACCATAATTGCAAACCCAGCTGCCTGGGGACCATCTCCACATGGATACTCAAACACGATGCCCCACCTGAACTCCAAACCTTGCTCTGCAACCTGTTCTACCTGAAACTTTCCCCAGCTCAGCTGATGTCAACTCCATTGTTCCAGTTACCAAAGCAAAAATCTCGGGAGTTGTCCTTGACTCTTCTTTCTTTCCTACGTCCCACACCTAATCTGCCAGCAGATATTGTCAATTCTAGCATCAAAATAAATTAGAATCTGACCACTCTCCCCACCTTTACTGCTATCACCCAGTCACATCTGCCACCCATCGGTGTCTAGGTTTCTGCAACAGCCTCTGAACTGATCTCCCTGTTTCTCCCTTTGCCCCCTGAGACACAATACCCAGAGATGCTTTCCCAAATTTATGCTTGATCAGGTCCCTCCTGGGCTCAAAACCCTGCAAAAGTTCCTCATTTCACTCAGAGTAAAAACTCAAGTCTTGGCAAGGACCTATAACACCTGGAGCCATGTCCTCACTGGCATCATCTCTTCATCTCCTACTCCCTTCCCTCACTCCAGCCACACCAGCCTGCTCCCTGCTCTCCCATGATGCCATGATGTATGCTCACTTCATAGGACTTTTACCCTGGCTATTTCCTCTGCCTTCACTGTTTTTCCCTCAGATAATTCATGGCTAACACATTCTCAAGGCTAATCACCTCCATCACCTCCTTCAAGTTCATGCTCAAATGTCACCTTCTCAAATTGCAACCTACTCTCCCTACCTCCAAATCCCCCTTACCTTGTCTACTTTTTAGCATTACTATATATTTTGTTTTTCATGATGTTAATTATCTATTGTGTCTTTCCTAATTAGACTGTAAGTTCCTTAAGGACAGAGAATCTTGTCTGTTTTGTTCTATGATGTATCTTAAACAACTAGAACAGGTGCCCAATAAATATCTGTTGTATGAATAAAATCTAAAATCTTTAGAGTAGACCAGGCTTCTTCCAATTTTGTTACCCCAGGATCCCAAAAACCTAAAGATTCAGGAAGTAGATGCAGGGAAGGAAGGGTAAAGTACAATGCAAACAGTTTTTCATCTCCCACACTAAATGGTAAACCTTTTGAGGGTAAGGACTGCATCACATCCACCTTAGTACCCCCTAATGCCTTGTACACAGTAGATGATAAATTGTCTGTTAAATATGTAATGAATGAATACTACAGAGAACTGTGCCTGGAATATAAAAATGTTTGCCAGATGAATGAAAAGACAGTAACAAGTAACATAACAGAGGTACAAGAATATTATGTTAGGACTTTGGTTGTCTCAGAGTCCTTCTTTTCTGCCTGCCTGACTTTCACTATCTATTAACTTTAGTAACAGCAATGTTTGACGTGGGAGCAGGAGGTTGAGAAGGAAAGGAAGTTGACAAAGGTCACAGTAAAGTATGAGCTTTTAAAGTCTTTGTGATTTACACTAAGTAACATTGTTTACCAACATGACTAAGAATACATAATATATATACTAACAATTTCATTTATGTATAATATTTACATATGAAACAATACTGACCCTTACTATGTGTAGTACTCTCTAATATTTTCTACTTTATTCCATTAGAAATAAAACAAAAAATTGTATAGCCATTTGCTGCCTACTAAATCAATTAATTCCATAAGCCACTAAATTG